GCGATGGTTATTGTTGCCTACATTTTACTGCCAGCAATTCTATTGCGATGTTTAAGAATTACCTAGCTTGTTACAGCTCCCTGAATGTCTTGGTGTGGGCTAGTCATTCAGTCATGACAGCAAGTGGTAATGGAGGCTGTCGTGTTTAAGGGGGCCTTTCTGTGATCGCGGGAGCGCTAGTAAAGAGAGAGAACAATCTTTAATGTAATTCCCAGAGATGTTAGCTGATTTATTGCCTAGCTTGCTACTCCAGGTGTCGGGCGATGACTGTGACCAGGGGCGTAGCCAGGGGGTGGCACACCGGGCCCGTGCCCCCTCCCCCGAAATGTTTTTTCGCCAGGGCATAGAGAGTGAAAAATGACCATTTCAAGAGGGTGCCCCTCCCGAAATCAAGGTGGTGCCCTTCCCCCCCCCCCCCCCCCCCCACTGAAAAAAAATTTTGGCTATGCGCCTGACTGTGACATATACGTTTACATATACGCAGGATTTCAAGCTGGACGGTTGTGCCCTCGCGATCTCCGACTTCAGCGTAGCTCCCGCCGACTGGTTCGCCCTCCGCGGTCTCCTGACGCCGTGTAGCTCTCGCATTGTGGCACCCCGCCCTTGGACTGCTTCGACCGGATCCCCACTTTCCTATCTCCTTCTTTTTTCCTCTCGTTGGCTGTCTTCTTCTGCTTCTACTTTCCTTCTATTCTTTTTATCCCTCCTTCCCCCCACCCCTATAAGGCACTGCGCCGTGTCGCCTGAAGGCAGACAGAAATTAGGTGCCTTTTTCCTCTTCATTGTAACCACTACCACCACCACCAAACAGTATGTATAGTCACGCACATATATACACAACGAAGGCATTCGTAATGTTTCATTAAGTCAAGTGATCTTCAAAAACAGCGACGGTGCTTTTGTGTTGGGCATTGCACAACCGCTGTCTTGCCGAAAAGGTGCAGCACCTCCAAGCTCAAGCCATGTTGCAAGTGTAGTGCTGCCTTGAGAATTTGCACTAGAGGGAATTGCATGTTGTTATTCTGAGGCACATCTCTAGCAAGTCTCGCCCTGCAGTCCTTGTGTCTTCACTGTCTGTCCGCATTTCTCTCGCACTGCCACTTTTCAAGATGGTGCAGCTCATTGTTAAAAGAGATATGCTTCTTGACACGTGCTACCCTATCTTTGAACCTAGACTGCGCCGTCGTGTCAGCAAACAAGGTTGCGCAGCTGCATGTTTTACAATGCAAAGACAGGTTAGAATATGGCTGTCTCCTTAGTGAAGCTTTATGATCCAAAAGAGTGATTTACACAATGTTCAACTTCTCCAACATAATGCTTCCCGCACAAAAAGAACGTTCGCAGTTATCAGAAGTGTGTGAATAGTGAATTTCGGAACCTAATCAAGTAAGAGTCAAATAGTAATGGCACCAAATAGAATACAAATAGTAATTGAATACTGTTTGAATAGTAAGTAGACCATTTTCAAAACAGCCTTAGAACAGAACATTTTATTTGAAACAAATAGTCACAAACTTTCGACAAAGGCCATTACAGTCAGTTTGAATCTACTCAAAATACCACAATTACGAAACTAAGGTAATCTCGTATGCAGCAGGAACTAGAATATTCGTAACATTTTGTAATTGTAGGTTCAACTACGGCATTGACTAGCGTTATCAACGTGAGACTTTGTCACCTCACTTTAAATAAAATTGGGACACAAAAACAAAACAATTTACAACCAAACATTGCAGATACAACTAAATATGTAACGGAGCAGATCAACCCGTCATCACAACATGGCCTGCGCACTAAAAGCGGATAACAATGGGCGTTGAAATTTACATCTGCAAGAACAATTTACGCAAACGCAAAACTTGTATCTGTTGCTAGTCGTGAAGCTGCAAGCACTCGTAGTTCCCACCTTTGGTTATTACAAGACGAAGACAGGAGCTGATAAATGCGATACAGCTAAAGTGCAGTAAAAATTGAGCAAGAATGGAGCTTTCAGAAGCGCATTCATTCGACAATCAATATAGTGTAGGTAGTCTTGCAAAAGCTTGGGCTGCGTACAGGTCACATTAGGGATTGAAAGAATGACTTGTAGCTGTTTCGTTGTTTTGGGGTTCTCCCGCCAGTGCCAATTATTAAAAGAATATTTGTTACTTAGAATATGTGCAATTCGATTCGACTTAGGAACCGAATACAGTGCTGTTTGATTCATTATCCAAAATTTTCGAATAATCGAACATCCCTAGCAATTATCCCTGAAAGCTACACATATGAAGTACTAAGGAAAGGTTCATGTGCTACTGCAAGACTTGGGTCACGTTACGTCGCTTCCTTCTTTCCTACTAACTGTGCTTTGCTTTTTTGTTTAGCACAAGAAGGCTTCTGTGGAAGAAGTTGGCTGAGGCCATCAATACGGAGTTCTTGTGCAACGTGACTGCCACACAAGTGGAAAACAAATGGAAGTCGCTGGACAGAGCATATAAAAAGTCAAAAAAAGACAACAATTCTTCAGGTCACCACCGTGTGAACTGTGAATATGAAGAGTAAGTTACGATTGTGTCTTCATATCTTCAGTGATTCTCATAGTGTCTATTACAGAGAGCTGGCAGAAGTCTTGGAAAAAGAACATAGTGTAAATCCAAGGCTGCTCTTGGAGCCTGGAAAAACAATCCTGCCTAGTGCAAGTCCAGAGTAAGTAAAAATTACTTAATTTGTGCTGTAGCCTGGAAATGACATGGCACCTGTACAATTACTTTCAACAGCACCAGCATCACTGAAGCACCTCAAGATGCAGCAGTCCCAGTCGAGTGCAACACAGCATCCAAAGTTCGGAGCAGCACAACGCCAAAAAGGAAGCGCCAGAGTAGGTCCCAAGTCACGCCGCTCTTGGAGGCATTAGAAAAAATGCAAGCTTCGAGAGCTAAGCAAGAGGAGGCAGCAGTGAAACAACTGGAGGAAAGAAAAAAATGGGAAGAGGCAAAGGCAAAGCGGCATGATGAGCGCATGCAGCGATTCGATCGGTTGATCGACGTACTCTCAAATAAGGACGGGTTATAATATGGGCAATAAACTTTTATAACACTAGCAGTGTCTACTCCATCTAATTTGTTAAAAAAAAACATTGCTTCTAGACGCGGCACCCCACTTCGCAAAACATTTGCACACTGAATAAATCGCGAAGCAAAGATGAACTTCTAGCACTGTTCCTTTGCAATGAACTCTCGCAGAGACTGACTGTAGCCTGGCAGACTGCAATCAAATCTCCTTCACTTTCATCATTGCCCACATCTTCTTCTTGGGGAAGCGTTGCAAGTTCCTCAAGGAAGTCCCTTTCATCGTTGCACATGTTGTGTAGCACACACGCAGCCATAACTATATAGCAGCACTGTTGCACACTTTTTGCATCAACAAGGTAGAGCCTCCTAAAACGCTGTTTAAGCAGGCCGAAGGTGTTCTCAATAAGCACTCGTTGTTGACTGTGTCGTTTATTGAAGCTCTTTTTCCACGTAGGAAAAGAACTTCCATTGTCCTTGAATGGGGTCATGAGCCATGGCATCAGTGGATATGCACTGTCACCCAGTATATAATTGTCTTCACATTCCTGAATTGCGCGTGCAAAGAAGGGGCTCTCCCTCAGGACACGGGCGTCGTGAACCGAACCTGGAAACCCAATAAACACGTTCAGCAACTTGTTCCTGTCGTCGCAGATTCCTTGCAGGATTATCGAAGGCCACTTTTTCCGGTTGAAGTAAGACTGCGTAGATTCGCTTGGAGTGAGTATCCCGATGTGTGATCCATCGATACAGCCGATGGTGTTTCTTGGGCCCTTGCCTTTACTTTTGGCGAGGAAGCCGTTCTTTATGCGGGTCACTTCCGCGCTACTAGGCCAGCAAATTATCTCATCGCTAATAGCGTGTAAGAAGTGAACGACCCGTGTCACACAAACATGAACAGACGACTCGGTAACATCGAATTTGTCGCCTATGGCGTACATAGATATTTGTGAGCCTAGGTACACAAGCGCTATGAGGCATGTTTTTTCGGCACTGATTTGTTGGCGGCCTTGCACTGCCCTTGGGTAGAAGGCTGAAGTCTTGAACTTGGCACTGAAACTATCAAAAGTCTCCCTGGACAGCCTGAAGAGGCGCTTGAATTCATACTCATGGTACCTGCCGATAATGCTTTCGTACCCGGGTACACGGTTGGCATCGTCGCGCACCAACGCGCACGCGACCAAGATGCACGCATCGTCGTACTCATCGTCGCAGTCACTGCAAACGGCACCGCTGACGGAATCGTCGTCGCTGCTCGAGTCCAGCAATTCCATCGCAGTCACAAGAAGTGCCATCACGGCCGTGTATTGATCGGACAAGGCGGCGGAGGCGGCTATTTTAGGCTTACACTACAAGGTGTTCTCCGGCCTGCACTCACGTCAACTCACGCCTTCGTTTTGGCTGTAGCCGTCGCGCGCTAGTGTCGGCTAGTGCCGAGGCGTGGTTGAGGCTGCACCTGCACTTGCTCGACCGGCGCTGCACGCTCACTGCACCGCTTGGCACCGCTGCGGCACTTTTCTGAACTAGTGCAAGCCAAATCGAAGATTCCTCAAGGCACAGCCTTTGAAATCAAACGCTAAAATTGCCGATATAAAAGGAAGGCCAAGTACCAAGACCCTTAACCCTACGTAGGTGACGCTGCCATAGAAGACGGGCGTTTTGCGCTCATCCGGCAAGCAATATATATATAATGAGGCTATAACAATTACGCTCGCCAAATTTGTCGCGAATCAAAAAACAAGCCAGGCAACCCTGACCATAGAACACACACAATTATTTGTTTTGTCCGTCTGACAGATCCTTCTCCGCTTATCTCTGGGGCAGATCCAAATGTTGCTTATCTCTATTCGAATTCACCTTGTCATTGCCGTGCGTTCCACCCAAGCCGAGACAAATTGAAAAGTAAATGAGAACAAAAGTCAACGTGTGACCTTTCGCATGGCGGTTACTTACCGTTCAGGACCAACAGGACCGGCGCGACCGATCGGGAAAATCAGCTCCGGGAATACGTCACTCAGATGCAGAGTAACAAACGTTGGCTGCCTGGCCCAGCATCACACAACCGAAGACAACCATGCTTGCACCGTTTCACCAGAGCGTTTGGTACACTAACTTCTCGAAGAACGTTCGGTCAGGTTGTGTCCACTATCGCGGAGCCTCATGTGATGAAACGTACGCCGTGCGTAGCAGCTGACCGCGCATGCGTACAAAATAAGTTTCGGTTTTGTGATTATGGTGTTTCGGTTCTTGTTTTGAACAAGTTATAGACGCTTTTTTTTTTTTCTAGTTTGAATTCCGAACATGTCTATGGCCTTACAACACCATTTCTGCCACTTTCCAAAGAAACTTGATTCGTTATTATGCGTGCAGCGTTCGCGGAAAGCTCTTTCGTCCGGATAATGAACGCGAAGTAAAATTGTGGGGTTTACTTATGGAAGTTCGAATTTGTAGTTCTCAGCATCGGTGATCGACAGATGCTATACATTCAGCAGAAACAAGCGTGTGAGCAAGTACTTCTACCAGCAAGCACAGCTGAAATTTGAGATGACGATCTGACTCGCAACAAAAGCTCTTAGGAGCGCTTTTAGAGTTACTTTTCGAGTTTGTTACTCGCTAGTACCATATACATAGCTTGTCTGATTTGTTACACACTGATCACACATATTGGTGCTGTGTGAAGAAAATGTAGCATTTAAAGATATCGATGGCACTGCGAAAGTTGCACATATTGTCGTTGCTGTGCCATCCTCTCAGTATCTCAAATCAAGTTTGCCAATGTCCTGGTGCTCCTTCATTCGTAACTTTCACGTCGAAATTGCCAAAAATACACAGCACATTTTTATTGGTGTTCTCTGTGTGTAAATAGAGAGAGAAAACAATAAAAGATGTGCTGTGCACCTTTGGAGATTTCAACATGGAAGATACCTTACAATCTTTTCACAAGCTAGTTGGAGTGTTTAAAGAAGGGTTTAGTATATTGGGCGACTGTACCCAGAGTAGAATTATGCTATTGCTAACTGGTTTACAGTACAATTTTTTATTTCTCCTGCCTTGCTTCTGCTTTATATTGTTTTACTGTCAGAGTAAAAAGAATGTTAGATGTAAAAGGCAGTGCAAGGGCAAAAAAAAAAAAACTATAAATATGTGACTATCCCTATCAGCTGGCCAATCCTAAACAAAAAAAAAAAAGTTTTATTCCCACGTCTCTCGTTTTTATTCCCAAACTTCAATAGGCAATTCTAAAATTGCAAGTGCCTCATACGAAGCTTCTGGATTTCTGGATTCCTTTTTAGTCCTCTCATTTCACTAAGACTCGGAGCCAAAGATGCCATAGCATAACTCGCCACTGATACAGCCCTTAGCAACTTCTAGAAGCAAATGCTTTCAAACCAGAGAGTTCTACTAACTTAGCTTTCTTCAATATGTTTCTACTCATTATGTTTTATAGGCATTGAGTAAGGAGCTAGTCTGCCATTGCTATTTTCCTCACCGCGTCACCTGTGAGTGCCTCTCCAGCTGTTTGAACAATGTTACCCACCATGACACGGTAGTGCTACTGTCTTCAAGATGTGGTGTTTAGTGCCTGCAGTCAGAATACCTGATATAGTATGGTCTGAGCAACTATAGAGGTTTTAGTAAACTACCATCGGCATGGCTCCAAATGATTGCATGCAGGCCCTGCAATCACATCAAAATATCAATTTACACTGCTAAGGATGGCAGTTAGAGGCCATTAAGTTGCTCATATCTGGTCGTGCATACCAAATCATATGTCTGCAATGAATGTTTTTTTACCTATTCACTCAAGTGCTCAAATAGACTCGATAAAATTCTTGAGGCTTTCTATAAGCTAGTGAGACACTTGTGAAATGATCTTTTCTGCCCAACCGTCACTTTTCGGCCACACCATAATGTGCACCGCATGGAATGAACTAACGCACAATAAGAAGTGGTTTATCCATGGACCCCAGTTAGTGATGAGTATTTTCGCACCTCACAGTTCATGAATGCACCAACTAGCGAAGCAAGTGGAATGTGACACTAATGACTATTCTTGGAAAGCATTATGCCTAATGAAAATATTCACACAATCAGGTGATAGAGAAATAGCAGCCATCCTCTATACAGAACCTTCATAGACTACGAGAAAGCATATTCGGTAGAAAACTCAGCAATCATACAGGCACTATGGAATCAAGACGTCGACTAACCGTATATAAAATACCGGTAGAAAGCTACAGCAGCTTTAAAGCTACCATAGTACTCCATAAGAAAGCAAAAATTTTTTGAATTAAGTATGGTGTATGGCTGGTAATTACATATGGAGCAAAAACCTGGAAACCTATGAACAGGGTTAAACGTAAACTGAGGATGACACAGCGAGCCACAAAAGGAAAATGATAGAAGTAACATCAAGGCACAAGAAGAGAGCAGAGGATCAGGGAAGCAAACGGGTTCTAAGGACATCTCACATGAAATAAAGAAGAAATGGGCATGAGCACAGCTTGTAGTAAGAAGGCATGCTGGTCATTAAGAGTAACAGACTGAATTCCAAGAGAAGGCAATTGCATAAGGGGGAGGCCGAAAGTCAGGTGGGCGAATGCAATTAGGAAGTCTAGACAGATATTTTGGTTTCAGCAACTACAGGAACCAATTTATTGGTGAAAAAAAAATTGGGGAACCTTTAGGAACAAATTATTGCGATAGCAATATTCTGTTTTTAGTGCGTACTTTAAACACTTAGTGTATAAAATCTTTTCAAACTTGCTATGCACACTTACGTGGCCTTAAAGGTGCAGTAGCGTGTGTGCGTTTTGTAGTGGGTGACTGCCTCTAAACTATGAAGTCGTGATAATTCCATGTTCTGACGCTCGATGGCAACGTATGCTTGTCGTAGGCATTATTACCACAGTATTTCATGGTATATTGAGAAACATGTACACAGGACGCATGTATTTGTACAGCATGAAGGTTACTTTCACTGTATTTCCAAGCAGAGGAAGTCATTTTCACTGTATTCAAAAGCAGAGGCGTGGCTGTATGGTAGAAGACTCACTTGCCACGCAAGCGACTCTACTTGGTTTCCCAGTCAGACCTGGAATTTTATTTGCATCTTTCTTAATTTTTCGGTCATGCAAAGATAATGAATTTCACTCAAAACCGGCGACGCCCATGCCAAAATTTCTGTGAAACGAGCTCTTTGACGCTCTAACATTAAAATGGGAGATGGCTTTGCCATGCCGTGAGTTCAGTCAGGCTGATGATGATGATGATGCAGTGTATGATATGAAAGTGTGAGTACCACAGTAACTTTTCAAAAATATAACGCTTATACACTGTCACAGACGGCAAAGTTTGTTAAATAGACATATTTACTTCTACTTTGCTTGGACTGCTGGACTCTTTTGCAATGAATATCTTGTTCCGGTAAAACTTCAGCTCTTTTATGCTCTCTAGAATGTCTGGCATGGCCCTGAAATGCAAGAGATGAGAGGAATACGTTACTGAACAGAAACCTTGCTCTCTGCATGCAAATCATGCATGTCACAAAATTTAAAACACCGTTATAAAGAACAACTCAGACACCACTTACTCTACAGAAGAACAGAGGCCCCTATGCTGCCCCTGAAAACCGTGCTAGTTTTATCATGTGGTGTGTTTCACAAGCAACAAGCAGAGGGGTCCAGACTTATAATCAATGTACTGCTAAGGTGTATAAACATAGTTACTTTCATCTATCAGCGTTCAGCATTACAGTCAACATCCTCGAAGGCGGAATGGTGTTCTGTAACTGTGCGGTACACAGCCACTAGTGCTTGATGGTGTCTAATGTCACAAAGCAATTTTGGATATAGTAGATACACCGCGGGGTTAGCAACAAGTCACACAAAGCACAGCACGCTGGCATTCTTGCTACAATAAGAAAAAGGCTGCAGTGTTCAGAAGCGAACCCAGGCATGCTCGGCAGCACTATACCTTAACTGCCAAGTCGGTGGTTCATGTTGAGTAGGGCACGAAAAAACAACTCAGCTAAGGATGGAAGGAAGGACAAGAACAACAAAAGAGAAGGAAGGGAGGTAAGCCAAACACATGCTCAGTTTGCTACCCTACGCTGGGGAACTCAGCTAAGGTGCACAAGAATGTACTTAGAGGGATCTATCCCGCTGTAGTTAAAATGAATTCACATACCAACTACTATTGATGCAGCAAGATGCTATGCACTAGTAGTGAGCTTCTGTGTATTTAGCCTGTTTAACAGAAGCATCATCCACAGATGTACATATTGTATGCGCAAAGGAAACAGAGACTTTTACGACTGAAGGGGCCGTTTATTAGGTCGCAAAGGTCAGTGCGGGAGCGGCCAACAAGTTGATTCTCGCAGCGTCGTCTTCTTCGTTCTAGCTGCCACTTGGGGCAGCCAGCACGTTTACTGGTCCTCGTTTTCTTCGTGAATACGTGCAACAATATACTACTCGGCATACACAAATGTTATTTTGCGCGTCCTTATTACCCGACCTTTATGAGGATTATCTACTCACATTGGAGTAGGGTTCCCACGTGGCATGGATAAGCCAAATACTCTCCCTCTCCACTGCTCTGAACGCAATCAGAGCATTGAGCAGCACCCTTTCTCCTACAGCTGGAAAGTATGCTGCTTCACTTCAACGACTGCTCCTCGTCACACCGTGCACCAATTAAATAAATTTGAGCACGCTTAATTGAGCTTCACCTTCAAGAGCAGATCGTGATAGCAGAATCGAGACTCGTGAGCATCGCCTTCTGAACTGCTAGCCTACTTCGGTTCTCGGTCCAAACCACAACCGTGCCATTATGAAATGAATGACTGTGCGCATAGCATTGGCCGTCTTTAATAATTCTCCCTTGCTGAACCTTGATCACGCCCCGCGATCATTAAACATTGCCCTGCATGAAGACAATCCGATCCTGCCTAGCAACCCTTTCTCGAAGTGCCCACAATAAAAACTTATCAAATGAATAGATGAGAAACATTATTTGAAGTCCTGAGGTGCACGACTCAACACTCCCACTTTGGGACAGTCAGGTCAAGCCCAATCGCTGCATCGTGGACCCCCTGGACAGCCCAGAGTGGATCCCCAACATCGGGGCTCAAAAAAAACTTTTTTTTCCCGCACAGTACGAGTGCTATAGTACTGTGATGTCCCAGGCACTCTATGCCATATGGTAGGGGAAGTGTGCAAAACACTAGCACCACTATGCAAACAAAACAGCAGTGGGAGGCCAAGTTATCGGTCCCAGACCTGAAGAAAGGTGCCTGGTTCAATGAGCGCGAGAGATTACAATACCCACGGCTACCTGAAATAAGGAGGTCCGAGGTACCATTTCTTCTCTATTTTTCTTGCACAGTGATCCCACCGCAAACTTGGCCCACGACAACCATCACCACTTTCAGTTGGCCATGAGCAACAGAGCAAGGCCTTTGAGATGCGCATTTGCAATCATAAGATAGTACCTACGACACATGCAGTTCGCAAAAGTAAGGCCTTTAAGATCTGTGTCTGTTGCCCAGAGCAGTTGCTTTAGAGTGGGCTCGTCATCAAAGATGCTTTCATGTGATTCTTCCCACAGTCTGACTGTGTTGCCTCCGTGTTTGTTGTTGTAATGCACCACACCACAGATGAGAACCAGAGTATTGAGAAAGTCCACGTGCACTCCATCTTCTTCTGTCGAAAGACGCTGCCACTATTTTGAATCTTGGCACCTGTCCGGAAATGCACCACCTCCAACCCCCGCCCTATTTGCCAGTAATTTTGACTTGCTGAGGTGTGGCGCAGGGGGGCTTTTAAGGTAGCACGTTTTCTCTCAATGTTCTTCTTTCTTTTTACAGCTAAAGCTGTTATGAGATTACTTTTCGGGTCACGCGCAGTTGTTCTTGTCCGCCGCCGGTGTCCGTAACCTCATTGCGCGAAATTAGGGAAAACCCTTGCACCAATGACATAGTGGGGCTTGAATCCGGGTCCGCTGATGCCAGCCCAATATTCCACCATTGAGTTTTGTAACTTGTTGTTAAACTTGCCTTAGGCAGGCATAACTTAGCACCAATGGCACAGTGGGGCTCGAACCCGGGTCCACTGGGTACCAGCTCAGTATTCTACCACTGAGCTACACCTGTGCTTGTGACTTGTTGTCAAACTTGTCTTAGGCAGGCTTGATGTCTGGAAAGCAATCGTGTTAATACAACTTATAAAGCGTTTTACAACAGCGAAAGAACAACCAGTCATCGCACAATGCGCATAGCGTAACGAGTGGGCCATCGATGCTCCAAATCATCACAATAGCTTGTTCTTGTTCCCCTATTAACTGTGGCGCATACCCACTTCAGCCATAATTCCTCATCGTCGTCAGCCACTGCATGGCAATTTGCACAAAATTTCTAGCAAGTGTTTAGCGGATACTATGCTTCTCAGAAGAATGACAAAAAATAGCATAGCGAATGCCAGCCTTCTGCCCAAAAGTTTATTATTATAGCCCTAGTGGGCACCAAGCAAGTGTGCTTGCGGTAGTTACCCAATGAGTGTTTTGAAAAAGCTCTGAAAGGCCGCTCTTCCAGCTTTCGCTGTGACTGTGCTGCGCCTATACTGCGCAGGCCTGGCGTTTTTTCTTGAGAACATATCAGTGAGCTTCTACTGAATAGGAATAATACTTGTATCATGCTCTGATGACAAGAGTTCAACTGAGAAAGTTCATTCACTCTATTAAAAAACATGCCACATGCCCTTATGATACTTCATAATAGTAGCTGGTTGGAAAGTTAAAAGTATGGTGAATTCCATTGAGAGAACAGAAGCAGAAGGTGGGAGTGGTGGAGCAGGGCACTGAGAGCAGGGCCACTCTACCTGCCGCTGGAATGCAGCACCCTTTCGAAGAGCAGGTGAGAGGGTGACGAGTGGGAGAAAATATGCCACGTGATCAAAACATTCAAAATGCCGGCATTCTCTACAGGACAGCAGCAAAGTATGCTTAATGTCTGTCTATCGCATATTCACAATTATCCTAATTCGCAGTTATGTAGTACATTTGTGCAACAACGCATCAAGCAAATGTAGCTGCGTACTCTTGCTAGCCATCATCGTCCCCACTCGTACAAACGGCACCATTACTAGGGTCGCTAGAATATTGACATATCGATACGGCAAATGACAGTGGTAGTCAAGCTAAACATGGTTGCTGTTGTTGCCACCGTGCTTACCGACAAGAAAAATTTAGTCAAATGACTCTCGTTGACTGTGCTCACTCCGCTTTTCAGGCGAGAGCACCACAAATTTCTCCTGGCTGCTCTCAACGCAGAAAAAGTGCTCTCTCTACATTACTCGGAGACATTGCTCCTGTTGCTGTTCAACCATTGAATCACGCCAGCTCTGAAGAGAGCACTTTCAGCATGCTTTTGAGTGCTCCTGTTCTTCCAATGGAATTCGACATTCGTGTAGCAAACTAGGAGTTATAGTGCACTATGAAAGGAAAGCAAACCGAATGACAATGACGGCAGTCTACATGTGGTCTGGCTTCAGTGCTCTTGGTTCTTCCATTTCATTCTTGTCTGAGTGTGCCTATGCCCTATGTATAACATTCTGAACCTCGCATCAACTCTGTACCTGTGGGATGCTGTCTTCAGCCTCAGAGCCTGGTAATACTCCTCCCTGAACCACCGCCTGAAACGAAGACAAGCAATCACGTAATTTCAATCACCTCTAAACTTGATAGCTATCGTTTAGAAAAGGGAAAGGTGTGCTCATTCCCACTTTGGTGCCGCAAAGGCTTTAAGATGATAAATACGAAGTCAGCTCATGGGAGGTATGTAAAAAATCACAGGTCATGTAGCCTGCTTACAAATTGTGGGATTTGCCTAAGGCATGCATATATATATATATATATAGATTGTGAGGAAGAAGATGTGCCCGCGGCAAGCAGCATCGCAAACGCCCGGCTCTCTCGGCTCGTGCTTCGGCTCGCTGCTGTGCTGAGCTCTGCTGGACAGTTCTTCACGCTGTCTTGCCGTTGTCGTTATCGACTAATAAACCTTGTCACATTTGGTGGAGAGTGCTGTTTATCCCCGTCGCTACACCCTGGAACTGCGAAGCCGCACGCTACCGCCCCTCATGACTGACAACGCCAACACATCGGCATCGTCGCCCCAGTTCAACTGCCCTGGTCATCCTAAGCTACAGGACCCGAAGGTCTTCAGCGGTGTGGATGGGACCGACGTGGAAGACTGGCTTGAGCACTACGAGCTAGTGAGCGCCAATAGTAAGTGGGATGAAGCCGACAAGCTTGGCCATGTCATATTTTATCTCACCGGCGTCGGAGAATTGTGGTTTAACAACCACAAACACAACATCCCTACATGGAGCGTCTTCAAGACGTCATGTGCTGAAGTGTTTGGTCGGCCGGCTGTCCGCAAGCAGCGGGCAGAACAGCGCTTACGCGTCCGCTCTCAGCAGACTGGCGAAAATTTCACCAGCTATATTGAGGATGTCGTCGACCTTTGTCGACGCGCGAATGACACCATGCCTGAGTCGACAAGGTCAAACACATCCTGAAGGGCATCGACGATGGCGCATTTCAAATGCTCTTGGCTAGAAATCCGAGAGCAGTTTCTGAAGTCATCAGCTTGTGTCAGAGCTACGACGAGTTGAAGAAGCAACGCTCTCTGACTCGACAACCTCAGCGTGGTGGTGAGTCGCTGTCCAGTTTCGACACCATGCCTGACAATTCACCATTGCTTCAGCAAGTCCGAGCCTTCGTCCCGTGAGGAAGTCGCCCGCCAACTTTCTCTAGTGCATTTTGCTCACGAGACCACCACCCCTCTAACCGCCCCGCTTTGCACTGCTATATCGGAAGAGGTTTCACAAGCTGTTCCCCTTGCGCACTACGAGCCGCCTCTATCTAGCCGTGTCCACTGCCCGCGTGTCGCACAGCCGGTAGGTGCCCCTGTCGCCTATCCGCCAGCGATTCAGCCTGTGGCCGCGCCCCTAACGTATGCAGCGCAGCCTGTGGCTCCTCCTGTCGCCTGTTCGCAAGAGATGCAGCCCGTAGCCGCCCAGCTCACATATGCAGACGCTGTGCGTAGGCTTCCGCAACTGCCCTACACCACGCGCTCACAGCGCGCACAGCCGGCTGCTTATACCACACCACCAGTCGCCATGGAGGACGCCCGATAACCAACCGATTTGCTACGCCTGCTTCACTCCCGGACACGTTGACCGCTACTGCCGCCGTCGACCTCAGACGTTCGGCAACTATGCCCGGTTTTCGCAACCCGGCAGCCAACCCTTCGACCAATACGGGCCGGTCTCGTCACCTCGCTATACCTCTTCTGACCACCTTAACTTCCAGCCGCAGCGCGCACCCTCTCTTCGTCGGCGATCGCCCTCCCTCATGCGTCGCCGGCCCGGACCCTCTGAACAGGAAAACTATGCACCGCAGTTCAAGAGGCAAGAACTGCGCCGTTTTCGAACTATCTAAGTCCCCGCTCCTCTCCTGCTAACGTGGTCGCAGTAACTGTTGAAGGTTATTGTACTTTCGCCCTTGTGGACACCGGCGCAGCTGTTTCTGTTATTGCCGCTAATCTCTGCCGTTTATTGCGCAAAGTCACGACGCCGCTTTCGAGACTGTCGCTCCACACCACAAGCGCACAGCAAGTAACGCCTCTCGCAGCCTGCACTGCAAGAGTGTCCATCGAAGGCAATCTTTACATCGTGGATTTTATTGTTCTCGCTGTCTGTTCGCATGACGTCATCCTCGAGTGGGACTTCCTATCCCGCCATAATGTCGTCATCGACTGTGCTCGCGCCGAAGTTGAGTTTTCACCCTTGTGTGATGTCCCATTACTTGACGCTCTTCATCAGCCAGTGAAGTTGCTCGTTCATGAAGATACCAATATTCCACCTGGAAATTTCGTCCTTGTTCCCGTTTCATGCAACGCCTACACTGACGCTACATGCCTTTTTATGCCTTCCGATATCTTCAAGAGTCGTCAAGCTCTGCCGCTGCCTTTCGCAACAATTGACCTTGCCACTCGGAAGAAGCAATATGTTCGTAAGCAATCCGCTTTCCACACCTGTCACTTTGCTTGTGGAGGAATGTCTCGGCCCCGTGCAGGATCTCGACCCTTCGGCTTTGGTTGATGTCCCGGATGACTACTGCGACCACCCAAAAGCACTGTCGGAACTCGGGGAGTCGTCCAATGATACATTTTCCAGCGCCATCGTCGGACACTCTTCACTCCCACCGAACATGCCGACCTGCTGGATCTTCTGCAAGAGTTCAGGAGTTCTTTCGATGTGTCGCAGCCTCAACTGGGCCGCACGTCACAAGTCAAACATCATGTTGACACCGGCCTACACCAGCCACTGTGTCAAAGACCATACTGTGTCTCCGCCGAAGAGCGCCGCGTCATCAACGATCAAGTCGAAGATATGCTTCGTAGAGAAGTCATTCGACCATCTCACAGCCCCTGGGCGTCTCCTGTCGTCCTCGTGCGTAAGAAAGACGGATCCATCCGATTTTGCGTGGACTATCGTCGTTTGAATAAGATAACCCGCAATGGACGTCTATCCTTTGCCGCGCATTGATGGTGCCATCGACACCCTTCATGGAGCGGAATTTTTCTCGTCGCTAGATTTGCGGTCTGGCTACTAGGCAAGTCCCAATGGCTGAAGCCGATCGCCAAAAAACGGCATTTATTACACCAGACGGACTATACGAGTTTAACGTCATGTCCTTTGGTCTTTGTAACGCGCCTGCCACGTTTGAACGTCTTATGGATAATATGCTACGTGGCCTCAAGTGGAATATGTGCCTCTGTTACCTCGACGATGTCGTGGTTTTCTCCCATGATTTTCCTAAGCATCTACTTCGCCTTAGGAACATTTTGACTTGTCTGACCAACGCTGGCCTGCAGCTTAACCTGAAAAAATGCCGCTTCGCTGCACGCGAGCTCGTCATACTAGGCCACATCGTGTCCAAACACGGCATATTACCTGACCCAGCAAAACTTCGAGCAGTCGCAGAATTGCCAAGCCGACGACCATGAAAGAACTTCGCAGTTTTGTAGGCCTATGCTCGTATTTCTGACGCTTTGTTCGCAATTTTGCATCTATCATGTCACCATTAACCCAGCTTCTTCGCGGTGACTTGAACCTCTCCTCCTGGTCCCCTGCATGTGACGTTGCCTTCACTACTCTAAGCCGTCTGCTCACCTCTCCACCTATTTTTCGCCTCTTCGACCCGACGGCTCCTATCGAAGTGCACACTGACGCTAGCGACGTCGGGCTAGGCGCTGTCCTCGCTCAACGAAAGCCCGGCTATTCAGAATACGTTGTAGCCTACGCTAGCCGCACTCTGACGAAAGTCGAAACTAATTACAGCGTGACAAAAAAAGAGTGTTTGGCTCTGGTGTGGGCGCTTGGAAAATTCCGGCCATACTTATATGCCTTCGCCATCGCTATTACTGGCGCGGCATGTACAATTTTGTACGCTGATTCGTGCAGTGCTGTCCTGACTGCCAGCGACGCAAATCAACAGTGCCACGAGCGACTGGCGCATTGCAGCCACTTCCATGCCCTGCCAAGCCATTTGATTGCATCGGCGTTGACCTCTACGGCCCCCTTCCATCGACATCAAATGGTAATTTGTGGATTATAGTGGCAGTTGACCACCTGACACGCTACGCCGAAACAGCCGCTTTGCCGAGTGCTACAGCTCAGGATGTCGCCTCTTTCAATTTACGTCGCTTTATCCTTCGACATGGTCCACCTCGAGAGCTCCTTAGTGACAGAGGCCGGGCTTTCCTCTCTGAGGTCGTCGAAACTCTGCTTTCGGAATGCCACGTCATTCATCGGAAAACGACAGCATACCACCCGCAGACTAACGGGCTAACGGAACGGTTCAACCACACGCTGGGTGATATGCTCTCAATGTACGTGGCATCTGATCATAGCAACTGGGACCGTGTTCTCCCATACGTCACATTCGCATATAACACCGCAGTTCAAACCACCACGAGATTCTCACCTTTCTTTCTTCTTTATGGACGCGAGCCTTCCCATACAATCGACAGCCTACTACCCTACCGTCCTGATGCTTCCGAGTGCCCACCTGTCTCCGATGCTTCTCGACAAGTCGAAGAGTGCCGCCAGCTCGCCCGTGCGTTCACCTCAAAAGAGCAGCAATGCCAAAAAGAACACCGTAGCACCACCCTTTCAGATCCCAGCTATGCCCCAGGGTCTCTTGTGTGGCTCGCCATTCCACACCAAACACTGGGACTCTCCTCGAAACTTGTCCCCCGGTACGAGGGGCCTTACACCGTTTTGGAGAAAAGCTCTCCGGTTAATTTCCTAATTGAGCCAGTTTCCAGATAGGACGACATGCGTCGGCGCGCACGTGACATCGTCTATGTTTCCCGACTGAAACCATACCATGAGCCTCTGCCTGAAACTTCTTAAGTCGCCAGGATGGCTCCTTTTTCAGCGAGGGCGATTGTGAAGAAGAAGATGTGCCCGCGGCGAGCAGCATCGCCAACGCCCGGCTCTCTCGGCTCGTGCTTCAGCTCGCTGCTGTGCTGATCTCTGCTGGACGGTTCTTCACGCTGTCTTGTCGTTATCGACTAATGAACCTCGTCACAAATATATATATATATATATATATATATATATATATATATATATATATATATATATATATATATATATATATATATATATATATACATGACGCATGTCAGTTGCCTGACGAGGGTATTGATAACTACAAAAAGAAAGTTAATCACACGAAGCCACCAAATCTCGACAGCTTTCACGGTGCACAGTTGGAATTACCAAGCATCTGCAACGTGCTGACTATATGAAGCAAAATTTGGTAACAAGTACAATCCACTACATTACCTTGCAAGCTCCTTGACGGTGCTGACATCCACAATGCGGTAGTGGAGCAAGCTGTCCAGCCGGGGCATGTCTCGCTGCAAAAAGCGACGGTCCATGTAAACTGTGCTGCCAGCAAGTGGACACTGGCCAGGTGTCACCAGACCCCCGACATAACTGCAAAGCTGGTCTTCCGCCTCTTTGAGTGTCAGATGACTCTTACGGCAGGCCTCGGTCAGTCCCGACTGTGTGTAGAACACAATGTATCAATTAATGAAGGGAAATAGGATGGCTTAAAATGCCTGCTAAAGTACACAGTGAAGTCCACTTATAACGATGTCGAGGAAACCTCAAAACACGATCGTTGTAACCGATGATCGTTATATCAAGACTGCCATAAAAAATCATCGCCAGACGCATACCTTTCGTAGCTCCGGGCTTGAATTCGCTTTTTCCACTAATGAACAGATGATGTAGATTAAAGGCTTCCAAAAAAGAAATAACCTTATTTTATACTACAAAGAGCATTTATGACTTCGGCACGATGAACAAGTCTGATACCCACAGTTGCTTCTGTGGAAGCTTCAGCTTAACAAGCGCGGTTCGCATACCTTCAAGCTGTTGTGAATACTCTAGCGGCATTCCTCGGGCACGCATGAAGTCTTCTAGCTCATCGATCAGTACCAGTGCACTTGGCGTGGTAATCGACAAGGCCAGAGAAGCGCTGTTCACCCACCGTTATAACCGATATATTGTTATATGTGGTATCGTTATAAGTGGACTGCATTGTAAGTGTTCGTACAATGTAAAAATATTAGTGCAGCTGGCAAGGAAATCCGCAATGTACGAAGGCATGGAGAGAAACTCGAACCGCGTGGCACGCTCTGATTTTGGTGGCAATAAAAAGATGCCAGAACGAATCTTGATTATATTGACGCAAGGTAGGCTGGCAACTATAGTAGCCAGCCTCTGAAGAGGACAACGAAGTAGTTCTGTGTGCGCGTGCTCTGGTGTTCGGTTTTCTGGCCCTTGGGTTGCGAAAGTAAACGCCCTATTTTGTACCTGCGTGCCTGTGTCTTTGTGACATTTTCTGGTGGAGGTGCGGGGTACGGTAGATGATACGGTCCCCTGAGAGCACCCCTGACGCAAGTCCATCGAGTATCTCAGCCGAGCTTACCCCTGTGCACGTACGTTCCAGCCGTCGTCTCTAGGGACTCGAGCCACAGCACGGTTTGCTGCCTGAACGTCAGAGGACTATGAGTCAAACACCGCCTAACGTCACCGCGCCAGCACCAGCGCACCTGGTTATCAACCAGCCCAAGACGCCGAAGACATTTCACGGAGCTGCTTTTGAAGATGCCGACGACTGGCTCGAGCATTTCAACCGGGTCGCCGTCATCAACGATTGGACCCCAGAGCGTAAGCTACGCTATGTGTACTGCTTCCTGGAGGACTCCGCGAAAACGTGGTTTGAGAACCATGAAGCAGCGCTTACGTCATGGGATGAGTTTCAACGGCAGTTCCTCAAGGCATTTGCCCGAGAGGACAGGAAAGAGACAGCGGAGCGTGCTATAGAGGCAAGGATTCAAGGCCCTAACGAAAGGGTGACGACCTACGTAGAGGACATGGATCGGCTTTTCAAGCGTGCGGAGCCCTCTATGTCCGAATCCAAGAAAGTTCGCCACCTAATGCGTGGGGTTAAAGAAGAGATTTTTGCCGGCCTGATTCGAAACCCGCCTGCGAAACTTGCGGAGTTCCATGAGGAAGCCACTGCCATGGAGAGGGCCCTTCAACAGCGTGCCAGGCAGTATAACCGTGGTGTAAACCCAAGTGAGGTCACTTCTGTCACTCTCGGCAATGACATCAGCGCGTTGCGAGAGCTTATCAGAGCTCTCATTAAAGAAGAGCTACAAAAGATGCAGGTGACTGCTCCACCTGCAGAGCAGCTCTCCATTGCGGAGATGGTACGCGACGAGCTACGGCAAGCCGTTCACGCTCCCCAACCATCCGAGGCGCCACAACAGAGGCACTGCGTCGAGATGAGCTACGCGGAAGCAGTGCGACGTCCTCCATCGTGCAGTTCAACCAGCGTATTTTACCCCAATGAGCGACACGCTCAGCAAATGGAGGTTGGCTTCCGCCCTCGCAGCTCACCGTTGATCGCCGAAGCAAGACCGAGAAAGAGTGACATCTGGCGTACACCCGACCACAGGCCCCTTTGTTTCCACTGCGGGGAAGCCGGACACGTCTACCGAACATGTCCATACCGTCGTGTGGGTCTCCGTAGATTTTCGCCTAATGCCCCTCGTCCACGACCTGGCGAGTGACCACAGGAAATAGAGAGTTTCATCTCGAATCGTCGCAGTATCGAACATCGGTCACAAGAGCCTCGCTCGTCGTCGCCTGCTCGCTACAGGTCACCAAGCCCAGCCTATTCACGCGGCGCTCCAAGACGCCGTTCACCAGTCCTGCAAGTCGGGAAAACTGAGTTCAGGAGGTGAGGCCGCTGAAGCTGACTCTACGGAAGATCCTCCACTACGACGACAGCGACAGCAGCAAAAAGATGTACAGATGCAATCAAATGTGATGCGAAGAGTGGTGACATCAAACATTGCGGTAACTGTGGACGACGAAGAAGTAATGGCGCTAATTGACACTGGAGCAGACACTTCCGTTATGAGCATGGGTCTTGCCTGCAGGCTGAAGAAGGTTTCTACCCAGTGGGCTGGGTCGCAGATACGTACGGCAGGAGGCCATCTTCTTACTCCGGTGGGGCGGTGCACAGCGCGAGTCAGTATTCATGGATTTACGTATCTCGGAGATTTTGTAATACTGCCGAGTTGCTCGAGGAATCTAATTCTCGGACTGGACTTTCTGCGTGATAATGGAGCCGTGATTGATTTGCAACAGTCGCAAGTGACGTTTTCTAAGGCACACGCTTTAGCGCGCAACCCTCACGGCAGTTACGTCAATGCTTTGAGAATTGTTGATGATGACGTCTCGTTACCGCCGAAGAGTAGCGTATTCACCTTGGTAGCCTGCGACGTTTTTGACGAATTCAACGACTATGAAGGTATTGCTGAGGCAAATATCCCGCTGCTGCTCAAACGAAACGTATGCATAGCCCGATGCCTTGTTCGGTCAGAGAATAAACGCTCTCGAGTTCTGCTGACCAACTTCAGCAATGAGTTTCAGCGCGTTCCTAGAGGGACTACTGTCGCTTTCCTCAGTGAAATCGCCGACTTTTTCGATATCGGCACATTGGTTACGACTTCACCGCATGCAAAAGCTTGTGCTGACCTGGGAAGCCGCATTCACAATAATCCACACTTGCCAAATTCACGAAAAGAGCGGCTGCTAAACCTTGTGAGGGAATTCTCGGACTGCTTCTTCACAGCATCGAAAGTTCAGCGTATTACTGTTACAAAACACCGCATTGTTACCGAGGAGTCGGTGTGGCCTCTTCGCCAACATCCATACCGTGTGTCCCCGAAGGAAAGAGAGGTGATTAAGCGTCAAGTTCAAGAAATGCTGAATGATGACGTCATCCAACCCTCGACAAGTCCGTGGGCGTCACCTGTTGTCTTAGTGAAGAAAAAAGACAACACACTACGCTTCTGCGTCGACTATCGACGGCTTAACAAAGTCACGAAACGCGACATTTACCCCCTGCCACGGATTGATGACGCCTTAGACCGTCTACGCCACGCCCAGTTCTTCACATCACTAGATCTCAAGTCAGGGTACTGGCAAATTGAAGTTGATGAGGGCGACCGTGAGAAAACTGCGTTCGTGACGCCTGACGGGCTCTACGAATTTAAAGTGTTGCCTTTCGGTCTCTGTTCCGCTCCCGCCACGTTTCAACGCATGATGGATACTGTACTAGCTGGACTAAAGTGGCAGACATGTCTTGTATACTTGGATGATGTCGTTGTGTTTTCAACCACATTTGACGAGCATCTTTCAAGGCTAAAAAGTGTCCTCACTGCAATAAGGAGAGCGAACCTTACCATCAAGCCCGAAAAGTGCTACTTCGGCTATCAGGAACTCAAGTTTCTCGGCCACGTGGTTAGCCCGGGGGGTGTTCGACTAGATCCGGAAAAGTTGGCTGCCGTTGCCGATTTCCCTCGTCCTGGAGACAAAAAGGCTGTTCAGCGATTTCTCGGACTCTGTGCGTACTACCGCCGTTTTGTCGAAGGATTTTCGAAAATTGCGGAACCTCTTACAAGACTGACATGGCCAGATGTACCTTTTGTATGGACGGAAGAACAACAACAAGCCTTCGTAGAGCTGCGCAATCGACTGCAGACAGCTCCAGTGCTGGAACATTTTGACGAGTCTGTCGACACCGAGATCCACACAGACGCCAGCAACGTGGGAATCGGAGCTATTCTAGTTCAATGGCAGAACGGCGCAGAGCGTGTGATCGCTTACGCGAGCCGCAGTCTCACAAAAGCAGAGGCTAATTACTCTACCACCGAAAAAGAGTGCCTAGCAGTCGTTTGGGCCATTAGCAAGTTTCGACCCTACCTATACGGCCGGCCATTTCGAGCGGTCAGTGACCACCATTCGCTCTGTTGGCTTGCCAATCTACGGGATCCATCAGGCCGCCTCGCCCGCTGGAGCCTCCGCCTTCAAGAGTACGACATAACGGTGGTCTACCGATCAGGACATAAGCATACAGATGCTGACTGCCTGTCTCGTGCTGCTATTTCCCCGACGTCATGACACTGAACACGATTTACCGTTTCTTGGCATCGTCGATGTGGTGCGGATGGCTGAGCTTCAACGTGAGAACACTGAGCTACTTCCTATCATCCAGCATTTTCAAGGAGAAGACGTTATCGTCCCATGCCGACTCTCGCGTGGTTTGACTACGTATTGCCTGCGGAACAATGTTCTCTACAAGAGAAATCTTGAGAGCAGCCAGGAAACTTTCCTCCTCGCCGTTCCAATGGCACTGCGTGAGGAAGTTTTGCAGGCGTGCCACGACGATCCTTCCGCCGGTCACTTAGGCTTTGCTAGGACATTAGCGCGCATCCGACAGAAGTACTACTGGCCACAGCTGTATTTGTCCGTTCAGCGCTATGTCCGCACCTGCCGTGACTGTCAGAGGCGTAAAGTCCCACCGGCAAAGCCCGCCGGTTTCCTCCAACCTTTAGATCCACCTCGAGCACCATTTCAGCAAGTAGGAATGAATCTTCTTGGTCCCTTCCCTACGTCATCCTCAGAAAATAAGTGGATAATTGTCGCGACCGACTATCTGACTCGCTATGCAGAAACCAAAGCTGTGCCTAAGGGAACTGCAGTTGAAGTCGCCAGATTCTTTGTCCACGACATTGTTTTGTGCCATGGTGCACCTGCTGTTCTCATAACCAATCGCGGAGCAGCATTTACGGCAAAGTTATTGCAACAAGTCACCAAGCTGACGCACACCAACCACCGGAAAACAACAGCTTATCATCCCCAAACAAACGGCTTGACGGAGAGATTAAACAAAACATTGGCCGACATGCTATCTATGTATGTTGATGTAGAGCACAAAACGTGGGATGAAATTTTGCCGTACGTCACGTTTGCTTATAACACCGCTGTGCAAGAGACCACAGACCTAACACCATTCGAGCTTGTTTATGGCCGTCGCGTCACAACACCGTTAGACGCTATGCTCTCCGTAGACCAGGACAACAGCGGAAATGACAGCGTTGACGACTTCGTTGAGAAAGCCTAGGGAGCCCGCCAGCTTACGCGGAACCGCATTCGCGCGCAGCAAGATATCGACGCTCGCCGTTACAACCAAGGCCGAAGAAGCGTCCACTATCAACCAGGTGACTATGTATGGGTGTGGACACCAGTTCGACATCGTGGGCTTTCGGAGAAGCTATTGCGGCGCTACTTTGGCCCTTACGAAGTTGTGCGCTGCCTCAGTGACGTGAATCACGAGGTAGTTCCCCAAAGCTCCGACACCAGTTTAAACCGAAGACGTCCATGTCCGGAAGTAGTTCATGTAGTACGGATGAAACCGTACCACGCCTGCGAGTTATGAACACTTCGAACTTTTTCCTTATTATCTACAACAGCGTGGGTTTTTTTTCCATTGACGTGATCATTTTTTTTTCTTTCATGGCCACCTCTAGCATCTCAGTCAATCGACCGGGACGGTCTCTCTTGAAAGGGGGGAATTGACGCAAGGTAGGCTGGCAACTATAGTAGCAAGCCTCTGAAGAGGGCAACGAAGTAGTTCTGTGTGCGCATGCTCTGGTGTTCGGTTTTCTGGCCCTTGGGTTGCGAAAGTAAACGCCCTATTTTGTACCTGCGTGCCTGTGTCTTTGTGACAATATCAAGGGTGATACTAGTGACATTTTTATTGTCATCCAGGATAGAGCCACTTGAAAACTAATGCAAAACAGCCAATAATATAGATTCCACATTGTTCCTATTTCATTCCATCCCCCTTGCACACATTCGAAATTCCGAAAACACTAAAAACGTAGTGGTTTTGAAAAGGACCATCAATCACTGGTAGAACTCACTGTCTCAATCTCTATGTACTATATCTTTGTGAAGCACATCACTCATGTAAAAGATGTAACTGCAGTAACAACCACCGAGATCTAAAAATTAGCTCAGTTTTACACATTCACCTTCTTCTGTGAAATGCAGCACTACAAGTTGTAGCTTCACGTTCCTTGATGTCGGTCACTTGGATATTTAAGTGCAACTATAAAAGCCGCCCTACGACGGTGGGCTAGGAGGTGAGTTTCTGTTTAATAGCTAGCTATGACATCAACAAACAAATTACTATGCAAAGAACTATGAATTGCATTTCACACAGAAATTATAAACAAAGAGGGCACATACTATTTTAACAATTGCAAAAGACTTACAAAAAAAAGTGAAACAAAATAGAGAGGTGAGCGAGTTGGTACTGATCCATAACAGCGTAAATGTAGCACAAAAAAGACACGAAAAAGAAAAAGTACACTACAAGTGCTTGTGATGTACTCTTTCTTGTCCATGTTTTTTTCGAGCTACAATTACACTGTTATGAAAAACAAAAGAAGATCAATATGCAGTTCAAGTTTCAGCCTTTGTAAACCGAATGCAAAACTCTCCACGGCTCTTTTAATTGCCTGAGAAAGTTTAAGGGTAATTTAGAAAAAATATATCCTAAGGTCAAAGCAGCTGCCTTTTAAGATACAGACATTTTTTGGTGGACCTCATACTATAGATACTAATATCAATGCAAGTTGTTATTTTGAAAGTCTAAAAAGGCTACAGCGAGCCATTAAAAAAAGCAGGTATGGAGAGCTTTTTAAAAAAATTGAGATACTTCACAACCCTAAGGTGAGGTGGGCAAATTAAACATAAAACATGAACAAGACAGGATGAGGTTGTTTTTTTGTGTGTTTGTCAATTAAGAGAAACACCAAAAAACAGCCTTAATTAATGCTCACTTGAAGTTGAGCTTCACCGATTAACTCCAAAAGAAATGCTCTTCAGCTGCTTCATTGCTTTTACAATAGTTGGCAGATTCAAATGGAGAATTTTCTATCATCCACCTTATAGTATGGACCCCGGTTCTAGCTACGTCCACCTTTTTTCTAAGGCAAATGAATTTTGGGCGGCTCCATAGCACAAGAGAGCATGAAGGGTGGCTGGTGGAATGGAGGCGTTGCTCAAGCAGAAACTGTTAACTTTGATCCAATAGGCGTGGTTGCACATACAGTCTTGACTAGCATCAGCAGATAGCTTTTAGGTTTGTACATCTCGTGCTCTAACAGCTTACTTTGTACTGATGTGATAGCGTGAAAACCACTTCACTTGTGGTAGTGGTTGCACTCCCTTGAGCCAGCACTTTTTAGGGTTTCGTTAGGCTTGGTCTGAATAAATTTGGCTGCTAGACTCACTTCATGTATCATACTAATTTGTAGGTGCTGCATTCGCTGCTTTGCCCTTGTGATAAAACTGTGACTCTTTATGGCCAACTGAGCGAAGAACACCAATAGAGTGAGGCATGCCAGAACCTTTCCATGATGCTCCTTGCACCAGTCCCCCATCTTCGTGAGAATGTCATCTGGCTGGTGCAACACCAAGTTGAGACCCTGCGTGCATTAAAACCAGTGGACGTAGCATCGCCAAAAGGTGAATGTACAAATTGGATGGCAATACATCCTTAGCATACCTATTTGCATTTAGAGAGAATGATGACCGCTTGGCACAAAAATAACAAGAGCAAGGGGAACGTGAAATGCTTTAATGCTTCATTCGCCTGTGGCCTCCAACTGTTTCGTGCTAAGCAACCATATTTTATGGCTAACTGCAAAAGCCTTTTGGATGCCTGGTGGTTTTCTAAGGTCCAACAAGTTTATAGCAGCCAAAGGAACACATTAACAAACTCTATACTTCAATGCAGCCTACTGGTGTTACATTCTGCAGAAAATTTAGCTTTTAAGTACATGAAAGCAAAACAGAAATTTAAGCTTGTGGTAATTACTTTGTGATACCTCAAACTGTAATACCTCAAAATGTAATACCTCAAAAACTATGCTCCTTCGTCACAGTCAGTGTTCCTTGGAGACATCATAAGTGAAATTCAGACCATCTGCATCAGGATTCATACAACGCTGCATACTTTGTGATAAAAAAAAAGTCAGGTCTGCACGAAACATACAGCCCAGTCACAGCATGTAATACCTCAAAAACTATGCTCCTTTGTCACAGTCAGTGTTCCTCGGAGACATCATAAGTGAAATTCAGACCATCTGCAACGAAATTCATATGTGACTGCGTACTTTGTCACAAAAAAAAGTCAGGTCTGCACGAAACATAAAGCCCAGTCACGGCATAAGCTGGAGGATCCACTTTGGACGAGTCCAGCGTACACTTTGTTGAAATGACTACTGTGAGTGCAGCTGCGAGATGCCCACTACACCATAATTATTAACATGTTACAAAGTAGACAAGTACCGGTCATGCCATATTTATCATTTTGCACAGAAGCAAGATACGCACAACACACCTGTAAGGCAACGTGCACACCTACGTAGCTTTCTTGATGCCATGGCCATGATGATGAGTTATGGCTAAGGCGTTTGTAATGAGGGAGAAGCTTTAACTGTTTCATGCACAGAACTCCATTTTTGGTGAGAAACAAAATTTTATTGAAGAAATGGAAAATATTTTGCAGAAAATGGTTTTCTCGCAAGAAATGAAAAATTACCAATTTTAGTTTAAAAGATACGAAGTGGTCAATGCTGTAAGGTTCTACTAATCACTTATAACAAAAGTACACCTCTTCATTTCTGAAGTCCTTAGTGTTAGCAACCCATACAACATGCTTTCCTCCACTATCAGCATAGAAACAGCCCATACGTATATATCTATAATAATATCCCAGGTCTAACGCGCCTCGAGGACGATGGCAGCCGGAAAAAAGCAAACGTAACATGTTACGATGAAGCCTAAATGAAGTACCGTCATCTCTATTAGATTGCCAAGTGCTTTAAAATAGGCGCCATATAATATTGGACACCCAGGGCTCACGTAATTCAAGAGAAAAAAGTGAAGAAAACGTGATTACCTGGGGTGACCACCGCACTGGAAAAAGTTAAAACACCCATTAATTATTTAACTGAAATTGTGCGATGCCTAGTGTTATATCTATTTTCTGCGTGGCATGACATGTGTGTAGGATGATAATAATAATAATAACAATAATATCTGAGGTTTCATATCCCAAAACCATGACATGATCATGAAAGATGTCGTGGTGGAGGGCTCCAGAAATTCAACCATAAGGTGTCCTTTAACATGCACCGACATCGCGCAGTACACGAGCCTCTAGCATATTGCCTCCATCGAGATGAGACCAGCACGGCTAGGATCGAACCCATGAACGTTGGGTCAACAACGGAGCACCATAACCACTGATCCGCCGTGGTGGTCTCCTGTGTAGCACATTCCTGCAAGAACTTTTAAGCACCTCTGTATCACAATACCCGACTACGATGCAGAGTGCCTGCGCTGAATCTTGCTTTTTTTTTCTCTCGTTCTGCGCAATAGCTGCAACCATAGAGTTTTCTAAAATTACCTAGAGGGGACTTTCGCGCTGCGATCGTTCAGCCACCATGGGAATGGCGGGTAGTACACGGATTTGCCTAGTCTTCACACTTGCGGGCAGCAAATCGCACTTACGTCTTCATTTATTGTTGTGTTTCGGCTTTGTTTCAAAGGAAAGAACAAACCCTTTTGAACTTCGTGGACATATTTGAAATGATAAGCCTAAAAAAACAAGGTGGTGAAGTGCAACCGCTGAACATTTGCTGATTTTTTTCGTTTTGTGAGAAAACAGCTCCAAGCCTTTCGAACACAGATAAAGCCAGAGGTACGAAGATTAGACAAATTCGTGTACTACCCATCATTCCCATGCTGGCTGAAGAGCCATGCATTGCAACTCCCATAGACACTAGTGACACAGTCCCTCTAGTGGATATTCAGAAAACTCTATGGCCGCAACAAATGCCAGCGGCGAAGGCGAACAACTGCACAACCAAAATCAATTGTGAGCTCATAATAGGTTCCGCTGTAAATGTTAGACTCAAGTAACACCAAGTCAATAAAACTTGTTATGGCATCTATTGCATTAAATCAAAACATACAATCATACTTTAGTGTAACAATTCTGAAAGCACAGTGTAACCAATGTACTGCTATTGTTGTGCCTTGACACTTTCGATTTATTTAAAGTGCCACAAATTCCCCCTACAGAGAGCTTTACATGAGAATGTCGGCAAATAAAACTGAGTTAATAAAACAATAATTCTATGGAATTTCTCAGTTAATATGCATTTAAATGATGAATGACACTTGAGGGAAGATCATTCCAGTACCTAACTGCCTGAGCAAAAAAAGGAATGATGGTGGGCTGACGTGTAAGCAGGAGGGGGGCAGACAGCCTCGTGGAGACTTGTGCAGGCTGAAGTACGATGGGCTGGTTAAGTGGGGAAGTTATAATGAAACGTACGATACATTTTGTGATACAAGGACAGTCTAGAAACCTTACGGCATAGGTATAGGTAGACTTGCTTTACATTTAAAGGAGTCCTCCGACACTATTGAAACACCTATTTTTTATTTGTGGTTTGCACAGAATAATAGATAGAGATTACTTTAGCATAGGTCTAAGCACTGATATCAATGGATTTAGTATTTTAATCACGCAATAAAGTCACCACATCGCTGTCGAACGCATCACCACATAGTGGCGCTCCCCAGAACTCTGTGGGCGGAAACGATGCTGAAAGGTTGCCGCCATATGATTAGATGAATGTAACGTTAGAAGGGATCGTGGTGTCGGATTAAAGCTGAGGTTACCATTCTGCTTCACTTTTCTTCTCTGTGCTTTTTCATCAAACCCTGAACAGACGTGGGCACAACGAAAAAATATCACTGCGACTACAAAGCACGACACAGAGGCTGGCTGCCATTCCGCCACTGGACTTTTGGCCTGCGTGGGTCGGATCATCGTCCATGTGAAAGCCCTCTCTCTCTTTCTTCCTTCTTCTTGCTTTTAGGAGTTTGCGAGCTGTCTCTTTCCACACGTGCACTATTGAAAAGGTGCAGTGCACCATTGTGGTGTCGTCGGGCGGCTCACTGAACAAAGTGCAAAGTGTCAACAGTACCTCACTATCCTGGTCGTTCCACAAGTTTCTTTCTCAGAATAAGCAGAGGGAGTAACTCGAAATATTGCAAAAACCAGCAGAGGATACCTCACTTCGACACAGTAGCGCCCGCTTATGTTCTGGCAAGTCAGGCAGCAGCCACCACATTGGTTACTGTGGCAACAAGGTCAACGTTACTTCGAAAAAACAAGCAACAATAGGGTGTGAGCTTCTCCTACCTAGGCGCTTCCAGCTTATTTCATTGGGGCAGCACTCTGACGTCACAGGCCAGTGAAATGTGGTCAAGTGACCCCACCAAAATCAAGTTGAGCGTCGGCATTTTTTTCTTGTATTTTGAATTTTCTACGTCGAATAACTTCAGACTGCATGCCGCTGTTTCTGCTGCATTAGTTTGTCTGTACTTCAGTCTACACAACCCACGAATGAAACATGAGGGGTTGCATAATGTTGAAGGGCCCCTTTAAGGGTGGTAACACTTGTGTGTTATGAGTAATCTGAGTAGATGAATCTAACTGCACAGTTTACTAGTTTGATAGACTTATGAGTCGCACAATGCAGACGCATACTGTAGTTCTGGGCAAATTAGTTCTTTGCAGGCTAATAATTTGACTGATGGAGGGGCAAGATGTAAGTTACAATGAAAGTAACCAACAGCTCTGTTAGCATTGTTCATTATTTTACTTATTACGTGAAGAGACCAGTTTGGATTCCGTGAGATTTTAACACCAAGATATTTAACAGAGCTGAGGAAAGAAACTACGGAGCCATTAATATTATGGTTAGCATTGGGAAAACTTTGTCATCTGTGAAATGAAACAATAGCAGTCTTATTATTATAATCATTAAAAACTATGAGCCATTTGCGACACCACTCATTGAACTTTAGCAGGTGATGCGGGAGAGTAACAGTATCTGAAACATTAGTAATGGGTTGGTAGATTACACAGTCGTCTGCACAGAGGTGAATGTTAGATAAAATATTATCGAGGGAAGTCACTGGCGTAAATTAAAAAGAGAAGGGGTCCTAGAACTGTACCTTGTGGCATACTGGAGATTACATTAGTAAAAGACAAGGACGTATCGTTTTGTATATTTTATGCACATTTGTTATAAGCTTGCACTGTAGCCCTCCTCTACATCCTGTTGCACCAGTTTTGCGCTACTTTACGCTTCTGAATTTACTTGCCGACGCCAGTTATAACTAGTAAAAATAAAAACAGCAGCATGAGAGCCCTTGTAAGTGCCTAATATCAGCTGTGAAAAACACTTTAAAAGATGCAAATGGGTTATTGGCCACTTTTACCTCTCATCAAGGCGGCACTGTCTAGCTTGCTTCAGCAGAATTCACTCATCATATTTATATTAAGCTACAGGAGTGCCGTTTCTTCGACTAGTTGGAAAAGCGTGCTCTATTTTTAGATGAATTTGATAAAGCCATGGAAGCAGTGAGGAAGGCCTAAGACATGAATATGGTTTGCCGTGTGCCTCGTTGTGTGCTTGTACTTATCAACCACACCCAGAAACACAGATTAAGGCTTTGCTCAACTGCAGTTAAGCATACTGCAGTTGAGAAGGAAGAGATCCCACTACCTCCATCAGGAGCCTCTTTCTGTGTATTTGCAAGCTAAGTACACGCACACACATATATACACACAAATTTAATAATTATTTTTTTCATTACACAGACCACGGCATCTTCATTCCAACATTTTACAGGTTTGGCACCTACCGGTCACAAGCTGCTCTTCTTCCGCTTTAATTTCTTGCCATTTGTGTGAATATTACTGCACTACAGTATAAACTACACTTTGTCCCCTATGCTATTTTCGCTTTACTTTAAGCTAGCTCTATTAGTTTAAGTTTTGCAAAACAAGTGAGCCCTGTGTGCATTTTCCACCCTTAATTCTTCTAAGAAAATAAGTGCTTTGTGAGTTATACGCTATCATGAGTGTTGTACGGTGTATTACATGAAGATGAAATCATAACATGCATGCAAAGCGATCTCTTGTACATGCTTGCAGGTAACAGCACCAAGAGGCAGGTTGAGGAAAGAGTGAACAAAGTGAGATCTGAAAGGTGAGCACCTTGTGAATGTTGCACATAAACAATCAGCTTGGACTCATATCACAGTGACAGCAGAGTTTATGTATTTGGATACATATTAAGAGTGGAGCCACTGACCCCTGAGATAGCATTGAGATCCTTGTCCGTCACCACACAAGCCACCTCCATGATGCGGTCTTTTTCCAGGTCTAGGCCAGTCAGCTGTAGATGCCCACACAGAGAAAAGTCCCAAGTGACACATTTTAACTTTCGAACACCTGCGATAATTTATGTCACCCGATCAAGCATGAAAGAATGGGAACACTAAAAAGTTCAGAAACGAATGATGTCAACATAAATTTTGAGCTTCATGCGATTTGCATTGAATTACTGTAGCCACACAATGCGCCACCACATTAGCCAGCGACGCTTCCACGAATTCTACGCTAATCTTGTTATAAATGTGCACAGGCATGTGCATAATTAACTAGACATTATTATGAACTTGTGGCAACTCTCCGGAAATGATTGGTTTATATGGCTGCGGGCACATAGCAAAGCGAGTTCACACGAACTAGAATTACAGTATAAACGAAGCTCTAATGCTAATGGTGCCTTGACAGTAAGCTCACTGTCTTATTAACACAGTCTAGTTTTGATTTATTATTATTAGTTTGAAAAGTAGGCTAATAAGTGTGACACGGGTTGCACTGAGCATTTTAGACCATAGAATGTGAGCTATCCTCTTGCTAGGCTCGAGCGGGAGCATTGGATCGGTAAGTGCAAAAACCGTCTTTCGTCAGATATTCTGAACACACATGATGCTGGTTTGGTTTCACCCAGCCCCAAATATATATCATCTCCACTTTTCACATTCAAGCGCGACATTTCTCACTGAGCAGTGGGATTCGTGAAAGCAGGAAGTAAGGGCTGGCAGGGTTTAGGGTGCAGACAGATGCAACTTGTCCTGCAGGTCACACAACTGATCTGCCACCGTGCAGCAAATGATCCCCATGATCATTTGCTGCACGGTGGCACATCAGTTGGTGGCACAGCAGTCAAACTTGGCAGCTTGCGGTGACAGACAGATTCGTTGTGCAGGAATCCTTCATAATCATTGAAATACTGAAGACAGCCAGACAGTCATTGTAGATTTCGTTCTCAACCGAGAATTGGCTAGCTCGATTTTGTTATTAAAGCGTTGGTGTCATTCCCTGTTTTTGTCCGTGTCTCAGTTTGCGCTCTAAACTTTGAGTGATGATGCTTATTCACCTAGCAATTCGTCTTTCCATTTTACTTCACATTATAACGGTTGCTGAAACGGCAAAAGCCCGTTAAGGGGTACCTCCAAGTCGATCCATACAAGCCCGTCGCTGCAAAGCGTCCTGCCACCTTTCCCATGCTCCATACTTGTGGCAGCTGATCTAACGCAGGTTAGAACGCGCTTAATACCTCGAAAATTAAGCGAAAGCAGCTGCCGTATAATCATGAGAGTCGCCGGCTTATCAGACGTGAACTGTAAACCGAACCAGCAACAGCGGCAAGCGAAACTTGACACACGGCGCTGGAAAAACAAAACGGCTTGAACTTGACTAGAACTTGGATCTTTTTGGCTTATTTTTGAGACCGTGGACAGATGTAAACGGCAAAAGTTGCATAGATGGTGGTGCCAGATTTTTTTTTTCGGTACTTTTGTGAGAAACTATAAAATTTTATCTATATATTTTGACAACGCCTCTGCTAGAAAGATGTCTGCGACTTGAGCCGAAAAGCTGGCTCTCGACTCCGTGTTCTCGGCCCTCTTCTGTTTTCTCCTCCTCTGCTCCCAAACACGATGGATGTATGGATGGATTGATATGGCTGTACCATATCGTCTGCTAAATGACGCCTCTTGCATACAACGCTGCTGTAGCTGATTCGAGTTTTGTGGCTCACACGTTCGGCTGACCCGTATCGAGGCGTGAAACTCGGGCGGTGTTTCACGTAACTTCCTTTATACCTCGAGAACAGAACGACGATCCAGAGACAAGAAGGACACGAAGTCTCTGTGTCGTCGTTCTGTTCTCGCGCTATGACTACCGTCATGTCATACCAACTAGCCCAAGCTGCCACACTCCTTTCCACCACGATAGTTATAGCGCGAGAACAAAACGACGACACAGAGAAGTGTCTTTCGTCTACACAGAGACAAGAAGGAGACGAAAGACACTTCTCTGTGTCGTCGTTTTGTTCTCGCGCTATAACTATCGTCATGCCATACCAATTGGCCCAAGCTGCCACACTCCTTTCCACCGTCACGGTGCCAGTGCACCTCAGCCGTAGATGCCATTAGTGAACCAAAAACTAGATTTATCTTTTTTTTTTCCCCATTAAATGGTGAAATTGAGGACTGGTACTTTGCAGTGAAGGTTTAATTTTCACTCGTGCCTTGATTTTAGTTACCACTCAGATAACCTCCTTCTAGTTAATTCTACCCACTTAAAGTCTATTTTGCCCTCCGTGTCTCTAAATCCTAGGGCTTTGAAGAACAGTGTCAGCTGCAAGCGCTTGTTGCGATGGCCGTTTTTAGGCCTTGCCGCCTTTGAGATTAAAACAATGTGCATTGCCATCTCAGAGGCAACACAATTATGTTTCAATAATGGCTTAGAAGTGTGGCAGCTTGGGCTGGTTGGTATGACATGCTGATAGTTATAGCGCGAAAATAGAACGACGACCCAGAGACAAGAAGGACACGAGCGTTGGAAGTTAGCGCTCGTGTTCCTCTTGTATCTGTGTCGTCGTTCTGTACTCGCGCTATAACTATCATGACGATAGTTATAGCGCGAGAACAAAAAGACGACAGAGAGACAAGAAGGACACGAAGGTCTCTGTGTCGTCGTTTTATTCTCGCGCTATAACTATCGGCATGCAATACCAACTAACCCAAGCTGCCACACTTCTATAATTATCACCACAATGGCGTCACTTTCTACATACTTTTTCACGGAGGAATTAATTGAGCGAAAGTAGTGGATGGATGGGTGGATGGATGGATGTGGCTGTATCCTTTAGATCGGGCGGCGGCTAGCGCTACCTAGCCTTAATCCTTAGTGAACTAACCACTAGATTTATCTCTTTTTTTTCCCTTTAAATAGTGAAGTTGAGGACTGGTACTGTGAATAGTTTAATTTTCACTTGTGCAGTTGAGGACTGGTACAGTGAATAGTTTAATTTTCACTTGTGCCTTGACTTTAGCTCCCAATCAAATAATCTCAGTAGTGTTAGGGTGGCTAGAATGGGGAGGTGTGATGACTGCGGCGGCGGCCTCTTGCCTAGCGAGGCCCCTCTGCGCGTTTTCGCCGCTGGGGGGAAATTTGGCGCGTCAGTCTGGGGCGCTGTTGGCATGTGCCGACTGTGAGCATGTGTTGCTCGTGTCTCGTTGGTGACGGAGCAGCGCAAGTAAGCTGTCGCTGTTCGCGAAGTACGGCCTGCTTTTTCTATCGCTTCCCGATTTCTTGAAGGAGATGATGTCAGCGGTTGTCGTCGATTTTTGAACCGCTCTGAAGAATGCCGTCGACGGGGAAAAAAAAAAAAACGCAGAGGTGGTGCTTTGTGCCAGGTTGCGACGCCGGCTACAAGTCCTGCGGTGAAAGACTGTCTCTCTTTCGTGCACCTGCCCGTGAGGATGAATTTGAAAAGTGGGCACGTGCCATACCAAGGGCCGACAAGCCACTGCAAGAGAATTCTGCAGTTTGCGAAAGGCATTTTGACCCAAGGTACGTATGGAATTCGTACATGTTTAAGCATATAGAAAAGTTGAGGTTTCTACAAGTTAACACACTGACCCGGTGTGACACACGGGTCATGAGCAGCAGAAGTGCAGTGGAAAGAGCCAGACTAATTCAGATGATCGGTTGTTCTTGTACTTACATTGGCATGTTGCTCCACGTGGGCGCGTTTTGCGTTCTGCCTCCATCGACCCGCGGCTAGATGTGTGTCACCTAACGCTGCAGCACATGCATTAATTGTTGTTTCGTTGCTTGGAAATCCGAAGTGTCTTCATTACAGAGGCTACGCTCACTTTTTATTATGTTTTCAGGTTTATCATGAGACACTACGTGCACATTGTGAATGGAAAGGAGGTCCATATACCACGCGATGTGCCTGCCCTTAAGGAGAGTGCTATTCCAACAATTTTCCCGAACCTTCCAAAGTATATGACGAAAACTCTGCCAAAAGAGAGGAAGAGGAGAATGGGACAGGGCTCTTCCGTGCCTGCAAAGAAGAGCCGCGAGGACATTGACGATTCAGAATGCGAATCGGTTCAGCTCATTCCTCATGACGAACTGGACATAGTCAACGATGAAGTACCTCGGAAACACTTCATTTTTGGTCTTCGACTACCATCGGAGTATTGGTCACGTCAGACATTCCAAACAAAACATAGCGAGTTACCAAACAGCTGAACATCATAAAAACAAAGTACCTCCTGTTGCCTTCAACAAGATAGCTGTGTTCGAAATTGGAGAGCGAAATTCACCCTCCTGCACCATTTTCCTGGCTGGCCACCTTCACTGTCAGCGCACCGTTGAGTCTGAGGAAGAGGCCCAAGAGCTTCTGGTGTATGCAGAAAAACTCTCTGTGTGTTGTGGAGTGGGAAATACCAGCGAGTTTAAGTGATTAGATGTGTCTGACTGCACAACATTGTCAGCAAATGGCCTGTTCTCCGCTGTGTGTGATGAATCTGTGTCACAAGGTATGTTGTGTTTTGGTACATACGTTTTGGGCACATCACAACTGTGAAAAATTATTTCATATACTTCACATGTCGCCCATTTTGTTGTTTCTTCCAGGTAAATTGGCTGCAGTGAGCATTCAGCTTCTTTAACAACATCGGTTGTCAGGTTCTACAGCATTACGCGTGTCCATTTTCTGCTAAAAGGGCTAAACCAGCATGCTGTGCAGAATAAAGCCAAGAAGGTGAAGCCCTGTGTTATGTAATGCTTTAATGTACTGTTTCCAATAAACTTGTATCAAGCCACCAGTCTTGTAGTCTTGTACTTTATTGCATTCTTCTGCCGCACTGCATAAAAACTGCATTGACTTCCACTCTTTAAAGTACTATTGCAATCGAAAATGTATAACAAATATGCGAGCGACACACGCAGGGTTGTTGCCACCTGCTGGTCTGCGGGAGAGATTCCTCTAAACTTTTTTTCGCGTGACAAGCGCGCCCACCTCGCAAGAAGTGGCCGCGAAACCCACGCTCTGTATCGGCTGCGTGGTTTGCGCTTGTAGATTACACGTCTAAGTTTCTCGACGTCAACAACATAATTGAAAAGACTACAGCGGTAAAACTGAGCGCGGTCGAATCATTTACCCGCCCAGAGGCAAGTAGACGACGCGAGAAAAGCACAGCGCCCCCACCGGTAGCGCCACCGCGCGGCAGGAACGCGCTTTTGGGCCAGCCTCCGGAGGCCGGTCATCACACATCCCCATTCTAGCCACCCTAGTAGTGTCAATAGTGTTGGCTGTGAGCGCTCCCTGTGAATGAAGCACCGAACTACGAGAAACCTCCCGTTCCCATAGGAAAGCGCGCGATGTCGCAGGCATCTTTCTAGAGGAGGCGTTGGTACCATTGTACACACTGCTCTGCACTGTGGCACACACGTGGGCATGGAGGAAGGAAATCATAGAGGAAGAAAACCTTGCTGAAAAAAATAACATCGCACGTACAGAACCGTAGCGACCATGGCCAACCACTGCGGGACGGAGCTGATGAAGTGAGTGGAGTTGTCAAATGTGTGGGTCCAGGGCTCGTTTACGACACACTTAGCCCATTTAGCTAGTTCGCTTTCCCTTTGTTGATGCATTATGGCCAACAGCTCACTGAGCACTGCTATCAAAGCCATGGCTAGTTCGTCAGGTGATTTATCAGACGTCAAGTGCGTGATTCGCGCCTTGCTCGTTGTGAACAATGACCCCACGCCGTACCTGACCTTAATGAAGCAGTACAAAGCCCAAGAGGGTTGTGCGATTCCTTACCGCAGGTTCGACTACACCGACTGCGTTAGCTTTCTAGAGAGCCTCACTGACACAGTAGTGGTGATACACAACGGAAACGACGTTTTTGTAAGTGCCAAGATTGACGAGAACTTACGCCATGTGCACACATTGGTACAGGCTCAGAAAGTACGCGAAAACCCTCCAACTTCGACATCGCCTCCGGCCAAGGTGCAAGCGCAAGCTCGAGCGCCTCAGCTACCCGAACTTGTGGAGGAAAACCTTGTGGAGTTGATGGGCGACAAATGTACGAACGCGCGTGTCTTGCGCGATGTGTACTTACGGAGCTTCGGCACGTCACTCAATGTTGAGCGTTACGGCTTCGCCTCGCTGGACGAATGTGTTGCACAGCTCCAGATCCGTTCGCCTGCTGAGAAAAAACGGAAACGCACGCGAGTTCAGGAAGACATCGTTGCTGTGCTGGAGCAATACCCCGAAGGACTGTACATGTCGCATTTCGCCGAAGTGAGCGCTCGCTTGTTGGGCAGGCCGCTGACCGAAGGCATACTCCACCTGGTGCGTCGTTACCCGTGGCTGTTT